CATAAAGCCTCTGGCAATAACAGAAAAGAGGGTAAGCAGGGTGGGTGGGGTGGGGGTGGGTAAAGAACACAGGTCCTCCTCTATTCCTCTACATTTAAAGCAAGGGAAACAAACAAAAATAAACAAATGGGACTACATCAAACTAAAGAGATTTTGCACAGCAAAGGAAACCATCAACAAAATGAAAAGACAACCTACTGAATGAGAAAACATATTTGCCAATGATACATCTTGATAAGGGGTTAATATCCAAAATTTATAATCTATAGTAATAAAAGCATAATATGCTAATTATACTGGATGTCTTTCAAGACTACCTTCCAGAGGAAGCAGGGCCTGTGCGAGAAGTCCGGGTCCCAGGTGCCAGAGGGAAATTGGTGCCAGCAGCCGGGGGAAGAAAGGCCTACTCTTGCATGAATTTCGTGCATTGGGCCTCTAGTGAACTTATAAAACTCAACTCACACACACACACACACTCACACACACACACACACACACACAACCCAAAACACCACAATTCAATTAAAATATGGGTAGGGGACCTGAATAAACACTTCTCCAAAGAGGACATATAGAAGGCCAATAGACATATAAAAAGATCCTCAATGTCACTAATCATTAGAAAAATGCAAATTAAAATCTCACACCTGTCAGAATGGCTATCATCAATAAATCCACAAGCAACAAGTGTTGGCAAAGATGTGCAGTAAAGGGAACCCTTGTGCACTGTTGGTGGGAATGCAAACTGGTACAGCCACTGTGGAAAGCAGTATGGAGTTACCTCAAAAAATTAAAAATTGAACTGCCTTATGACCCAGCAATTCCAATTCTGGGAATTTATCTGAAAAACCTGGAAACACTAATTTGAAAGAATATCTGAACCTCTATTGTCATTTCAGCATTATTTACAATAGCCAGATTTGGAAGCAGCCCAAGTGTCCATCAGTAGATGAGTCGGGGGAAAAAGCTGTGGCATTTACACCAGTCGGGGGAAAAAGCTGTGGTACATTTACACCATGGAATACTATTCTTCCTAAATTTTACCCTTTGCAACAGCATGGATGGACCTTATTTCATGCTAAGTGAAATAAGCCAGTCAGAGAAAGACATATGATTTCATTCATATGTAGAGTTTAATGAACAAAGTGAACTATCAAGCAAAGTAGAGAGACACTCAGAGAATAAGCAGACAGTTTCTGGTGGGGTGAATGTTATGGGAGGTGGAGGGGTTGAGCAAAAAGAAAAAAAGAGAAAACTCATAAATATGGATAACAGTGTGGTGACTGCAAGGGAAGGGGGTGGATGGAGGTGGAAGAGAGCATAAATATGATAAATAGTGATGGAAAAGATAAAAATCTACACTAATAAAAGAGAAAGATGCAAATAGACCGTATAGTTGTCTGGCTCCAAAGATCTGCATGGTATGAACTGGTAATGTTTCAAGTGAATAATACACATTAAGAAATGGTCACACACTGGGGTTTTACTGGCTGACATATTTTGGGAGGCTAAGGATACATCAAAACCCCAACCTTCTAAAAGAAATATAAGCACATTGTGTAAAGACCCACCTAGTAAAAATAGGAGTTTTGTCAGTTATTGGATAAGCTCATTCTATGCAATCTACACTAATAAAAGAGAAAGATGCTAATTGACCATATCTTTGTGACGCCCACCAGCCAATCAGGAATGAGTATGCAAATTAACCCAACCAAGATGGCGGGTTAATTTGCATATAAAAGCTCCGAGTGGCCAGGGACAGAGCCATGGCAACGATGCAGGTGTTCCGAACCGCCCCAGCCACTCTGGGCCTCTGGGCAGCATGGGAAGGTGGAAAGGTGGCTCTAGCTGGAGCGAAGGCAGTGCCAGCAGCCAGGGAAAGGAAGGCCCATTCTTGCATGAATCTTCATGCATTGGGCCTCTAGTATTCAGCAACAAATAAATAAATAAATAAACAAACAAACCTTTTTTCTGTATACTAAAAAAAAAAATACCCACATTCATACTACTTTAACTGAAAGACTCACTGCATATGGAATACTGAATGTGTGTATAATCAGGACAGTGCTAGGGTGAACCAAGTGTCCTCCCAGGGTCTCATTGGATGGAGGTGATATCAGAGGAAGGACCTTTGGCTTCTGAAATACCCCTCTTATAGAGGAGAATTTTCTAGAGAAATTTTGTTAGGCTCTATTTCTTTGTTTTCTTTAATTAGCCACCTCCTCTCTCCACACTGTATTTCCTTATGTTGCTGCTTCCCTCTGGCTCTTGTCTTGTCAGGTATCTGCAAATAATGAAACTAATGTGTCCTGATTACTGAAAAAGGGAACCTTTTCACAGACACCAACCAGTAGCTCATAAACCCTTTCCATTACTATACTGTTAATGGGGCCCAGGGATCATCTTAGAGCTTGTCTCAGAACCATGGGGTTTTTTTTGTATGTGTGTTTTTTCTCCTTGCTGAAAAGTGTCTCACTAATTGCTTTCTTTTTCGGCTGGTAAAATGAACTTCTATGGTCATGTTTTTGCATGCTTAGCACATTAAATTTTTTTTCCATGTGCATGCAGCACTGAGCTCACTTAGATGTTCAATTAGCTATAATTGTAAGCCAAATTACAGCAGCACCAGGAAAGAGTTATTCCAACAGAGTGATTATTTGGGTTAAATTATTTCCAAAGCTGACATTTCCCTGGGAAAGGGTGGTGGTGGGAGGGTACGGGGGGGGGCAGGAGTAGAATGTTAGTGGTAGGAGGAAAGGCAAGTACTAGATAATCCATCTCAAAGAAAACACCTGATTCTCTTTCTCTCTCTCTCTCTCTCTCTCTATCTCTCTCTCTCTCTCTCATCTCTGTCTCTCTCTTGCTGTCTTTTTATCCTTAATTTCCTCCCAACCTCCTCCCTCGCTCCTTCCCTCTCTCCCTACCCTTCTCCCTCCCTTCCTCCTTCCTTCCTCTTCTATCTTGAAAAAGAAGCATTGGCTTTGGAGTTACCCAGACCTTCTACAATAGTTGTGTGACTTTGGGCACATTCCTTAACCCATCTAAGCTCCATTTTTTTATCTGTAAGGTGGTGATAATGAAATGTAGCTTACAGAGTTGCTGTAAGGACTGCAAATACTGTAAAGTGCTTTGTACAATTTCTGGCATATCACAGCAGATATCGTTGCAAATGCTGGTTGTGTTCATTATTACTATTAAATCATCACGCAGCCAAAGAGATAGACATTTTATTTCTCGTGGGCAAATAACCACTAACGTGCTTAAAAATCCCGCATTTGCAAATAACAAGCTGCCAAGCTTATACTTCTGAGGCCATTTGAGCCAAGATCCAGCAGCCTTAGGTAGCAATGTCTTATTGACGCCTGATATAAAACCAGAACTAATCCAGAAAGAATTCCCCAAACAAGGGAGGTGTTAAGTAAAAATAGAAAGAAAACATTTATTGAGCACCTACTGTGGGGCAGGAACCGTTTTAGATGATTTTAAGTGAATTATTTCACTCAGTTCT